TATTTTCAATGGCTTCAACTCAAATGGTCTCCGTACCTGCAAGAACCCAACGTCGGGAGGGTATCCGCGTCGAACCTCCGATGCCTAAGTCAATACTCCAAATCCCAAGAAAATAATGATGAATGTAGAGAATGAATAAGATACCTAACCCCTTTTATAGGGGGAGTATACCTTTAGAGTTGGCTCATACCATTACGCTATATCTCTTAGCTCATATATAGATTTATTCTCCAATATATTCTTTCTTATCAATTAAAACCGGTCTAATATAATATTTTATATTAGATAATAATTTAAATAATTAATTGTTGATCACCGAATATGTGAGATTAAAGCTGAAAAAATCGAATTAAGATGAATTAAGATGAACAATTTGGGTGAAAATGAATTTTTGTGAGGTCGGATTTTCTGGCCGAGGTCTAATTTTGACTCGAAGGTTGTATTAGGCTATGTTTGGTAAAACTAGCTGATAAGCTAACTGATAGCTGATAAGCTAGCTTATAGCTTATCAGTAATTTTTTAGCTTATAGCTTATAGCATATGACTTATAGCTGATAAGCTAGCTTATATGATAAAAGTGTTTGGTAAAACTAGCTGATAAGCTAGCTGGGATAAAAAAAAACCAACTAGCTTATTTGAAAAACTACCTAAAGAAGCTTATCAAATAAGCTCGAGCTTTTTAAAAAAACTCGTCCCACCAAACAAGGCTTATTTTAAACAGGGAGCTTATAAGCTGATGTAGGGAAAGCGTACGAGTGGGACGATATTAATGAGATCTCAATCTCAAGAACATCTAAACACGATATAATTCATATTTTCATTCATAAACAACCAAGGAAAATAAACTAGAGGTAGTCCTTTATATAAGGCCCCTAACCCTAAACATTAACTTGTCCACCAAGTCATTAAATAATAATAATAATAATAATAATAATAATAATAATAATAATAATAATAATAATAATAATAATAATAATGATAATAATAATAATAATCCTAATCTACACCATTCTCCCCCGGTTTGGAAGGCTTCGCCCTCGAAGCCGATGCGCACCCGTGCCCGGCGTATGGTGTTGAACCTATGGTAGTAACTCCCGTCGTTTCCCTCGGTCGAATACAAAGGTTGAATGCCTCACTCTCATGGTATCACCCCCTTGAAAGTCATGGAAAGACATATATGCAGCAGCCACACACATAATTTTGAAGTCACCGTGGGAACCAAAACACAACATCTGTTGGCAAGATCGCAACAAATTCACGTAGGAGAAAAGCTCGGGCCTGCGCAATAGAATAACTACCAATCGAACACCAAATTCTTCCAACAGCTGAATTTTGATGCCCGAAACATGATTCAATTCCTCCGGGCCCGAAGGCTCCTTATCGAAAATCGGCGGACAGTCGTAGAGACTGTTCACTTCATCGGTAAGACACTCCTTTACCTCCTCGGGTTCTTCATCAAACACCGGTGGACCATCGTACAATGGCCCGTCAACTTGCTCTTCGTCGAATTCTGGGATGTCAACGCGAAACGGGCCCTCCCATTGACCATATTCGCGATTAAGTCCCCAATCGTGTCGGGCACGATATCCGCCAACGAAGGCTGCCTCCTCGCGCCAGCCCCAATCGCTGTGTTGATCGTCGCCGTCCACGAAGACCGGGCCCCGTCGCCACATGTCACGGCCGCTGTATGCAGCGAAGGGGTCAGGCTCGACGTGCGGAGGTTGCCACTCGCCGAAGGGATTCACCTCCGAGATGGTATTCTCGCCGTCTTCATCGCTGGACGGTGGTTGTGGAGATCTCCGACGGGGCGCCCCGCCTAGACCACGACCTCCACGTCCTCCGTGAACTCCCCCGCGAATGCCCCGGTCGCCGACATCACGGTTCGTCTGCAAATCCTCAACCATGTTGTTGATCGTAAGACGCACTTCTTCGATCCTCGTCGAAAGATCTTCAACCCGACGTTCCAATTGATTGATCTGGCGGCCGAAGCCCGTGGCTCGTCGACCGAGATACTCAATGGTGGCGTCACGCCCGTCGATGTCGTCCTTCCGCGGCGGCATCTTGAATCGTGCTGACTTCTGATACCAACTGATGTAGCAAAGGCGTGTACAAATGGGAAGATAAAAGGAGATACTCTCTCCAGAACACGGGATACTCTCCCAAAAGAAAACACGATCAATTATTTTCATTCATAGTATTATTATTATTATTATTATTGATTATTATTATTATTATTATTATTATTATTATTATCATCTTGGAGAATAAGTTAGGAAAATAAACTAGAGGTAGTTCTTTATATAAGGCCCCTAACCCTAAACATTAACTTGTCCACCAAGTCATTAAATAATAATAATAATAATAATAATAATAATAATAATAATAATAATAATAATAATAATAATAATAATCCTAATCTATACTTATATTAAAAGCCAATCTATTTACTAAAAATAGTAGCAAGAAAAGTCAACTCACATTTAATACATACTTTATTTAGAAATTTTTTATTATATGCATTAATTGATTGATATATACATTTCCTATTCAAATATGATCAAAAAGATTTTTTCCTTAAATAATTTTATTAACTTCTGCAATGATTTTACTGATATATATTATAATTCATATTTGTCGATAGTATTTTTTAATTTTTATTTGAGTATATAAAAAACAAATATTTTTATAAATTAATATTTTATTTATCATTTAAGAGATATGACAAATCATTAAATAATTTTACTGATGACTAGATAATAAATTAAAATACATTAATTATTCTTTAAAATTTTGGCATGTTATTTATTTGTATATCTATATTTATTATATAAGATATTCTATTTACCAAATTTAGTAGATTGAAAAGTCAATATAATTAATGTATTGTTATTTCTATCTAGAATTTTATTTAGTTATTTTATCTATTTGTCTTATATCCCATAAAATCAGTTTAAGAAAAAAAAAATCCCATAACATCTGACAAGTTAAGAAAAAACGTAAAATCTTTACTAAAATAAAAAGACTTTATTTATTTGTCTTATTCCATATTAACATCGATTTTGTCAAAACAAATGCCATAAAATCAGTGAAGTCAAAATTTATACGTAAAGTCTATCTATACTAAAAAAAAGTCAGATTCAAAATTCTTTATCTAATTCTTTTTTTTTTCTTATCTAATTCCTTTTTATTATCTAATTGTATGAAAATCTGTTCTGATTTTGTTCAATCCTCTAATTGTATTTGTATTATATTCCATAAATCGGTTTAACAAAAAAAATTCCACAACATTCGATAAGTAAAAAAAAAAAGTACGTAAAATATTTACTAAAATAAAAAAGGCTTTATTTGTTATCTAATTGTATGAAAATATGTTCTGATTTTATGGTACGTACTACAAATTGTGCACCCGTGTTCAGGAGCTACTTAACGGGCAAGCTCTCTGGAAATAACTCATTTAGTGTTTCTGTCTCGTGCATACGGTATGTATTTTTGTTACACATACTATAAAATTGTGCAACCCGTGCATCACACGGGCTCTATACTAATAAATGAACTTAAAATTGTGCACCCCGTGCATCACCCTTATTCACATTTTGGTCTATTGCAGGTCAAGTACTATATATATCCCGTACATTTTTTTTTTTCATTTGTATAATTATAAGACTGGATAAATGGCTTTAAAATTGTGCACCCCGTGCATTGCACAGGCTCTGTACTAGTCTACACCATAAGCTAACCAAATAAGCTATAAGCTAGCTTATTTGGCTTACCAAACATACCCTTAGATGAGAGGATCTTTGTGTGATAGAGATAATTTAATTCTCTGTCGCGCCTCCAAAGTGGAGTCCTATAACTATTCTCTGTCTCGGGACGTGTCCCGCTTTATTTCTTGGATGATAAGGCCCTGTTTGGGAATCAAGATTTATGCGTGGACGAAAATGAGAGCGCGAGAAAGTTGGTGAACTCGGAACTTGGTTTTTGCGGTGGGAATCACGGTAACAAAGGGTTCTTCAAGAGCAAAGTAGTTATCTTCTGCACGATTCTTCTAGCTCTGATCATTTTACTGCTCGAGTTAATGATCATGAGCTATAGGAACTTGGAGTGGGGCTGGGCAGGGAAGCAATGCTAAGGACGAAAAGGACAGTAGTGCCAACTATATATAAATGGCTGTGAAAAATGTACCGTATATGTGAAGAAGCTTATTATATATGACTAGTACGTATCTCGTGCGATACACGGGTAAATAATATTAAATAATAATTATAAATTAAAGATGTTGAGTTGATAATCGTTTATTAGTTGTAAACAATATAAAAATATCTTGTATAAAATAACATAAGAAAATGTATGTTTAAAATATTAACAACACTCTTTGTACCAAAAAAAAAAAAAAATATTAACAACTCTAAAATATTATATATAATCTTATTTAAAAGTATCTATAATTTTATATATCATTATTGAAAGATGTGAAGTCACCTAAATTTTTCTAAACTATTTTGTAAAGAAAACATGTCTAAAACTATCTAATGGCAATAATATGAAAATTCCAAAAAAAAAAAAGTAAAATTAAATATTAAAAAAAATTATAAAATTTCATGGTGAATTTTCCAAGAAAAATAAGTAAAATTTAATATTTAAAATCTTGAATAATGCCAATAATATGAAAACAAATAAATAATTCTAACTAATATGACACTATATTACAATCCAACATCAAGTATCTTCTTATCATATTAATCACTTTCACGCGTGTCAAACCAAAACTCTCTCTCTCTCTCCAATTTACGGCCAAAAAATTTGGCACGGAACTGTAATTGCTTTCTGTCCCCCAAAAGTGTTGAGACCATCTTTTTCACGCGTTATGGTTGCCAAAATAAATTTCCAGAAAATAACGGCAGCAAGATTTTCCCGTGAAGCACCATGGCAAACCGGTATCTGACCAGCATGACGCTACGCCATGGCCCCATGTCCAGTTCCGCCGGCAACTTGTACGGCGTTCAACCATGTTCAACCAAGTCTGAAAAAGCTCCGTCTTGTTTTCCATTCAGCTCGCTAAGGCATCCTTCGAGCAAAAACCGGCCAACACGTTTCATGGTGTCCAACCGCTGCCTTAAGCTGGAAATACCATAAAACGCAGTTGCGCCTCCGACCAGCTGCTCTTGTCGTTGACGACTCCCGCTATCAGCCCCAGCCCCACGCTCAGCCCAGCCTACCGACCCCGCGCAACATCTTCTCTGGCCAGGATATGTCCGTTCAGTCGACCTTTGATATGAAACGTCCAGAACGATGTTGCGGAGTCCATCCGCCTTCAGCAGCCTTGCACCGAAATTCTTGTCAGGCCCTCTAGACCACCATCCGGGTCCTAGCAAACTAACCGCCTGGAGCCCACACATCCAACAACCATGAAAACCGGCCAGAACCTTCTCCGTTCAGTTCGCCTTGTAAAGCTAAAAAAAATTATCTTCCCCTCCCAATGTAATTTCCACTAAATTTCAAGGCAGAAAACAAACATTACTTCAAGAGGCGAGGATTTCCATGAAACGCAATATACGTAAGCTCCCAATGTCACCTTAGCAACATAAAAAAACCAAATGAAGATTGAAAAAAAATGCAGAAAAACAGAGCAAAAATCAAGCTAGAAAAATCACAAGGTACATGGCGAGACCGGGGAATAAGCAGAAGGCTCCACTTCGACGCCTCAAATATTCTCGCGCAGGCTGCTGGAGCCGTGGAGCTGGTGTCAAAAGTCGTCAACTGCTTCTCGAGCGCAACGTGCGGGGGAAGGGGGCGCGTGAGAGCCACTCCCGTCGCTGGCAATTGAGCTGATGGTGGAGTCACCGGCGGCGCTCCACGGGAAGAGGGCAGGGGGGTTAGGGTCTATGGGGCCGATGGGGAAGAGTCCAAATTGGTATTCCAAATTAAATTGGATTTCTAGTTTGATAAAAAGGCAAGATTTTATTTTTAAATTTCAAATAAAATCAAACAGATATAGAAGACAGATAATCCCTTACAAATGATTCTAACAGAATCGTTCAAATAAGTTGGATAATGTATATCTTGATAGTAAATCCCTTCATATAAGGGATTTTTTGTTTTTTTAAATCCTATCCAAAAAAAAAGTTGCCATAAGTAGAAAACATTTAATGAAGAAAGAGGTTTGACCAAAAATTTAGTTGCTATTTTTAAAAATTGGTAAATCGTTTTATATATATATAGATTTGTTTATTGATTAATTTTTTTGACAGTAATAAAGTACTAGTACGTACCCCGTGCGATGCACGGAACATAGATATTAAATGAGTTATTTTAACTGCCTTGTCCGTTTAAATCTTAAAAGTAATGGTGTTATTATCTATTTTCTACCTCTTTTGATCAACGTTAAGTCTAAAAAATAATAAGGTTATAAGTTTTTTTTCATATCTTTTAACCAGCATTGTTTTTTAGCCAGAACTTAAATATGAGTATGTTAGGGCTAGCTTGTAAAATAATTAATATATTATCTCACTAAAATATTTATACTAATAAAACTTTAATTTCAGTATATAAATTTATCCCTTGATATAAGAAAAAAGTAACAGTTTTATTTATTCTTGTTTATCATATAATATTTCATTATTATTTTATTATATAATAAAAAAGAATAGTGTTAAATAGTTTTTTTTTAACACAAAGATAATATTAAAAAAATATAAATATCCATACAAATATACGAACCAAGTTTTTTTAATAGTTTTTTATAAGTTTTATAAAAATATATTATAATATGTTAGTGTATTATTCAAAATCGTAATATTGATTTGTAGTTTTTAGAAACAGAATTTTGATTGTTTTTGCTCACTCCATTTTATGGAATTTTTTTATGTCAAGATAAAAAGGATTAAAAACAATATGTAAAATAGAAAACTTGATTAAAATTATAAATGCATTAATTACTACTTGATAAAATTAGAAGTTCATTAATTAAAGTTGATTTTTCTACCTACTATATTTAGTAAATAGGTTTCCTTTTAATATAAGTATAGATTTTAATATTTTTCTAAATTGATTTTAGTAATATAATCTATACCTTTTGGTCACAGGACTGAATCCATAAAAAATTATGACAAAAATGTGTAGCCGAACGAATATTGGTTTCAGACTACACCAAGGTTGTGGACCAGACAAAAACCTCAAACATTTTTTTCATCTTCCATATGAATATATGTATGTACAAACGGACCAAATTATCCTAGCAAACAAACCAAACAATTATGGCATTATCCTCGGTATATATCAACACCTTCTCTTTTTCGATCAATTTTCTGCATTTTCCCAACTATCCTCGATCGAGCTTGGTTTACACAGCCACTGAACCCAAGGCGGCCTCCTTTTTCTCGATTAGTTCGGTCAGTATACTGTTGATCTGTGAAAACACGTCCTGTTTCGGGAGAGTTCCATCAATCTGCAATCAAAAGGTGGGACTTATTTAAGTTCTTTGGCCTTTGCCAAAAAAAAAAAAAATGAAATTTAATTATTGAAAAATAGCAATAAGTGTAATGTATATTCTTATGAAGAAACTTTAAGAAGAAGAAAATAGCAAACAGCGTACTTTGATTGATATATCTTGGTACATTGAGAGCACAGCCTCCACGTTGCTGTTGTGAGTGAGCAAACGTAGCTTAACCTGTAAAACACCATTAATACACACACTTAACATGAGCTAATGGGCTAAAAAATCAAGAAAAAGAAAATTGTTTTCAAATACAGTTTCAAAATGAAGCATGCCTTCTCCTCGGTGTCATCAAAACGCTGAGTAAGTCTTGCAGCAATTTCTTCTGTTTCGGGTGGAGAATATTTGAGATGATATATTTTTCCAGTCACAGGATCTAGTCTGCGACCCACAACTCTTTCAACAAGAATCTCTTCAGGGACCTGAAAATAATTTTATTTCACATGTATTCAAGAAAGAAGGTAAATAATTCAATCAAAGGCAACTAAACAAGACAAATACAATAATACACAATAATACATTCGACATATGCAAGAACCTTACTTCAAGAAGAATGAAGATATCTGGATCAAACCCGAATTTCTTGAGGGCTATAGCTTGGGACTCGCTTCTTGGATACCCGTCCAGCAGCCAGCCTTTCTCTTGAGAATCTTGCTGTGATAAACGATCTTTGACCATCTACATCCGAAAAAGCACATGACGATTTCATTTACTAAAAGTCTAGTGGGCTTTTCTCATTTATTTTTTTTTCATATTTGTGTAAGTGTGTATCTATTTTCCTTTATTTTTTATTTTTTATTTTTTATTTTTTTTGCCTAGAGTAGGGATGCGGAAAACATAAATTATTTTAGTAGGCAAAAATTACCATGACGACTATTTCATTAGGGACAAGTTGTCCTTTTTCCATGTATTCTTTTGCCAGCTTCCCATTATCTGTTCCAGAAGCAACTTCAGCCCTCAGAAGATCACCTGCCGCTACGTGCACCAAATCAAACTGCAAAGTGAAAAGTGACTCGGTAAAACGTCACACCATATGATTCATAGTGGGAAACTTGATAGGGCCAGGCAAAAATGGAATTTAATAATACATAAATCGAAACAAAACCAATCGATCTATGCCTTTGAACCAGCATACTACAAAAAAGCCAGATTTACTAGTAAATGATACTTACTAAAAACTATTATACACATTTGCACCAAAAAAAAAGACCATACAGGTTATTCATACAAAAAAAAAAAAAAAAAAAAAAAAAAAAAAAAAAAAAAAAATAGAACTTAACAAAAGTCTACAGACATCTTGAGAAACTCAACTATCATCAATTTGCAAGAAAGTCCACACAAGAGATAAACGAGGCGGAGTTTCTAGCAAGGTTATATGAAAGGTCCTTTAAACGGGTCATGGAAAATGCAGCTTAAAACAATAGAGTATAAGCTGAGTAAAGCAAATATGAGTTCTCAAGCCCACAGCTGTCTTCCTGGAAGTAATCATGTTTTGCAACCATGGATCAAACGTCAGCATTACCTGCCTACACATTTCGACTCATCATAGATTCCTCGAATTTACCCTAATCAAATTCAAATTCAAGTTCAACTCCCCTAACTGGTTTCTCAAGCCTTTATCCAAGTTTTGCATTCACTTTCAACCTGGGTTTATCATCAAGAAGTTGGAGTTGTCCTCCGCAAAGTGAGTGCATTGCTAAGGACTTATACCGATATTGCACACCATCATTTAGCTATTGCTATTTTGTTTCTGATAGCGGGCCACATGTATAGGACTAACTGGGGCATCGGTCATGGCCTAAAAGTTAGGCAAGTCAGAAGCTACACAACATCGGGTGCAGTACACGAATCAATTCCCCTGTCTCGATGAAAAACACATTTCATAGAGAGACGAAATCCATTACCACAAGCTATTAATAATATGGCCGTGATCTGTCGTTACGTGGACCTACTCTTACTCATAAACTATTTGCGGATTCGTCTTTGTTTTTGTAAGGCTATCATATAGCCATCTAAATTTCTCCTTTTCTTACAAAAGATCTCCAAAACTTGTTGAGTAGAAAGGTTTTTCTTTCTAGCTTCCTTTATTATTAGTGCTCCCTTTACATGTTTATTGTTTAAGAAATCAACTTCCTCATGAGATCCTTATCCCCAGAAAATCCAACAAGTTTCTTGCCTAATGCCTATATTCTATTTTATTTTAATTCCAGAATTAAGTAAGAATGTAGGTATCATTTAGAGAAAATATCTAACTTCGCGCCTCTTTTTTTTTCCTTTTTGGTTACAAATGCTACATAGAGCAGAAGTCTCAGTATTATCAATCCCAAACAAACTAAAAGGGCACAGACATTATTACTATTACCTTGCTAAGCAACCAATAAATAACTATGAACACTCTTTTGAATCTAACAAACATATCCGTGACAAATCGATTCATCACCAACAAATGCAGCTCAATAAATAACTATGAACGCTCTTTTGACTCTAACAAAATTATCCGTCAAATCGATCAATCGCCAATGAGCGCAGCACGAATGAAAACTGAAAATATCTAATTCCAATCATCAACGAGTAAGAGGTTGATTCTGACCTAATCAGCATCCCCAAATCATCAACATTTAATAAGTATAATAACACAATAAACTGTGTAGTAAAAAGAAGTTACCTTCTTCGTAATAAGCTCACATTGAGTTCCTTTACCAGAGGCCGGGGCTCCCGATATCATCACCTTCAGAGGCTCTGGCTTTTTCCCTGACGCTGCAACCTGTTATTCAAAAACAGACACATACGAAATTAAATAAACAAATAAATATATCCCATTTCTAATTAAAAAAAAAAAAATGCAACAATTAAAGAAGGGGCTTTACCATCAAACTTGGAGAAGCTTTGGCTTCGGCCAAATGGGTTCTTGATGAATTTTGACTTGAATGAAGAGAAAGAAAGGGGAGCTTTCTAGCAGACGAAGGTCTCGAAAAGGTTTGAAGCGGATTAGAAGATGGGGTTAAGGGCTTGTTTGGATTGAAGGATGCAGCTGCGAAGTTAACTGAATAACCGCCGCAGACCGCCATGATTCCCCCTTCGTCTTCCCTTCTTCTGGTCTACGGGTCTGGTATCTTGATTTCAACTGTGTTTTTATTATTATTGTTTTTGTGGAGGAATAATGGAATATAGAAAATATTTTGTTGCGCTCTGTTTGGTTGTGCGATTACCCGTCCACGTGGCCCACGAGAGGGATTGATGTTTATTTTATATTTCTGGTATGATTTTTTTTTGGTCTCGATATGAGAGATTCATTGAACTAAAACACATAATTACAGTCGACTGAATAGTCAAAATTGAGGACCATATTAGGCAGTCTAGAGACCACAATACACACCACAAGACTAAACATAAAAATAAAACTCCCCACAGGAGAATATACAAATTCCCCACAGAAGAATAATATAATCTCACGGGGAAATAACACAAACCTCACGAAGAGGAGAAAACAAAACATAACCTACAAACAAAAACATGCACAAACACAACCACAAATAAAAAAACACAAAATAAAATAAACGAGAGCCCTTCGCACAACCTAAGCGACCACCCACACGATGATAGACTTGGTCCAAGCCACAAAACCAAAAACTGCAGAAACAAAGCATAACCAGAACTGAGATAAAAAGACTCGACCCCTCACCCGGGTGGACCACCCAACAACTCGCAAACCGTAGAATCACAACAAACTCCACTCCCCTACTCCCGACAACTCGGATTCGACTACCGGCTACCGCTCAATTAGACTCGAAATAAGTATTTTTTATATAATTTTATTTAGTTTAACTAATTAATATTAAGTCGAATTTAAACTTTATTACCGAATCATTTTGTTAACGAGTCAAGTCGAAATCAATTTAGAAAATGCTCGAGCATGAGCTCGTTTACACCATTAACTACAGTTGATTTAATTAACTAATAGTCTAATACTACATAGTCGAGTGAATTCACGGACATGTTGATTAAATTAATTTATTACACAAAGTTTGATAAATAATTAGTTGTTTGATGTGGAGGAGAAAAAACTAACTTACATTTATCTCTTACAAAAAGCTCCTATATTGAGCTAGTTTGAAACTTTTTTTAAAAAAATCTAAAAGATATTTCAAAACTCTAATTACCATAATAATTAAATTAGAGCTTTAGTGACTTCTTAATCCACTAATTTAACCTAAATGTTGCAAAGTATTCGATAAATAATTTGCTATATCATATATAAAATTAATTATAATTTTATAAGTTTCTATATAAAATTTTATATTCGGTTATTCAAACTCATACATAAAATTAATTAATTTCATAAGTTTCTATATAAAAATATTATATTCGGTTATTCACAATTAGTTTTTTATCCAAAAATTTATTTCAACTTTTTAATTATAAAAAGAAAATGGGGCGAGGATGACGAACTCGTCAACTCAACTGTTTCACCCAAAGTTCAAAACGCACAGACATACGCCTATAAACGACGCACTTTTACCCCAAAATTTCACAAAAATCAAAATCTGAGCCCTAATCCCGAGATGGCGAGACCGACCTCCGGCAGGCAATCGACCGCCTCCCCCTCCTCCGCGCCGGCGACGGCGACCCGGACCACTACCGTGACCCTCGAGACGGCGTCGTCCAGCCAGCAGCAGGCACAGGTCACGGATTCCCTGGTGCTGAAACTGAAGCTCCCGAAGAAGAAGGTGTCGTGGAAGGAAGGCACCGTGGATAACGAGTTCATGAACAAGAAGAGTTCGAAAAAATGCTGCATTTTCCACAAGGAAAAGCCGTTCGACGAGGACGATTCCGACGACGAGGGCGATTGCGATCACAATCACGATCACGATCATAGTGAAAAAGATGTTGTTGTTGATGAAAATAAACAACAAGGTGGTGATTGATTTTATTTACTCAGCTCCGTCTGTTTGGATCCGAAAAAGTGTGAGCTTTTACTCTTGTGATTTCTCGCTGTTCATTTGCTTCAGCTATGATATTATATTGATAGGTCTGTGGAAATTGAATAGCATCAAGATGATCATTTGGTGTGTAATCCGTTTTCTTGTAGTATTGTTTGGTACGCCATGATTGAAAATTCGTATTTGCTGTAATTGCCTCCCTTGAAGATATTGAGAAAATGCTATATCGAAAATTTTGATATTTTTGTTGTTGTATTTCAGTTTTGAATTTGAGGTTGTCCAGAGCTTTGTTGCATCCATGAATCTTATTTATTCCCGTGATTTTGTGTTAAAATGTCCAGTGATCTCTAGTGCGACTAGCAACTCCGAGAGCCCTTTAGAACTTGAATGATGAAAGAATGGAATGCATTGAGAGATGATTGTAACCAAATTAATAGTGTCATGAAGTCTCGAAACGGAAAGGGG